TCTTGGATGGCAATTTTATCACTTTACTATACAAAATTGATTAAGAAATGGGTACATACGTAGGCAGCCAGCAAACCCTTAGGAAGATAGAATAAAAAATGTTATCCTGACCTTAGAAAACTAAGTTGTACTTACCAGTATCATCATGACTACAACCATTACAAGTTAAATTAAAAAAAAATTAAGTAATTAATTAAGGACCCAAATGCACTTTTTCATTTATTTAATTGTCATTAAGGTTATCACTTACAATGATGTCCCTTATTATTAGTTTATTCTTACAAATTAACGGTACACCGGAGATAATTATAAGTAGAAAAGACTCAAATCCCTTAAAGAAGAGACCAAATATTTTAATCCCTCTAAATGGAGAAAATATCCACTTGAAGTATTTTTCTCTTATGGGCCTGATAGGGTAAGTAGGATAAGGCTGATAAGGCTGTATTCAGTAATAACTTTTTAAATCGCATTTATTCAAAATGTTAAACGTTATATTTTATAGTGTTTAGTAACATAATATTTGAACTGATTTTACATATTAAGATAACGTTTTATAAAAATAAATTCATATAACCTTTAATTTTTAGCATTTCATAAAAAGCTACAAAAATAACTAATTTTGCTAAACAGTGTAAGTCTTAATCTAACATATTTGGATGGCGGTTTAAGAAAAAAAACTATTGTTAATTATATCAAAAAGATGTGTGCAACGATACCGGAATCTAATACATCGGTTAGGTAGTGAAAGAAACGGCTGTACTAGTAAGCGGCTAACCATTGAGATGGTGACACTTGTCGAAATGTTTGTGGTCATTCATTCATGACCATTAACTTTTAGTATTTTTTTTAGGATTCCATTACCACTAATCTTAAATTAATTATATTTTGGTTAATGATGAAAATGGTGAGGTTGACATCTTAATTAGTAGTGTCATAGAAGATAAAAGCGTGCTTACGTTTCATTATCTAACTTAATTTCTTTTTTTTATTTCGAAATGAGGTATACAATTTCTAATTTTTCAAATATTATTAATCTTATAAATATTATTTTGTCACTGAACTACTCTTATTCGTATCAGTCATTTTCTTGAATTTAGATGGATATAATTTGAGTGATAAAATTCAAATATTTTACGAATTAAATGAATTATTTTATTTAATTTATATATAAAGTTAGTTGTTTGAAATTTTGAATAGTCATTATTAAAAAAAATTTTTAATTGCCATTTCAACTTCAACATAGAAAAACGAATCAACACTTCTAATAAAAACTCTTTTGATCAATAGCTCATTCTTTATATTAGTAAAGAGACTAATGTATACCTAATTGACAAAAAAAATCTTATTTAATTAAGAAAAAATAATTAGGATTTTGTGGAATTGATAAACTTCGTCTTGAACTCAATTTCACTCTAGAATTTCTCAAATCAATTAATTTTTATTAATGATGGTATTAGTTTTATTTCAAAACTAATTTTCATACTCATGGATTTTCATATGAATTTCACATTTCATAAACTTTATTTAATATTCCATCAATTCAATAAAACTATTTAAATTCAAATCTCTCTCTCTGTATTAAAAAAAATTCCCTTCATTAATAAAACAAATTACTATCTTTCCATACACTAATGCATAGTCTAATGGTGAGTGCATTTATGACTTGACAATAGATTCAGGTAGGAATCCTCTCCGTAATGCTATAAAGAAAAAAAAACAAATTATCATACATCTTTATGGAAGCAACATAAAAAAAAAAAAAAAAAAAAACATCTTTTATGGAAGCCAACATAAAAAAAAAAAAAAAAAAAAAAAAGTTTAGAATATGAGCTGCGGAGTATTGGTTTGGGTATGGGAATCACTAGAAATGTTTCCTTCTATAGTATGACGATAATATTCATTCCTTCATTGGCATGTGCAAATCCTAGGATAAGGTTTGTTTTAGAACAAACAATATTGCTTCTTTCCAAAAACTAATGACAATTCTTAATATAATATTTATCTTTCTTATTACAATCCCAATAGAAACCCACAAACAAACTCCATCACCCAGAAGTACTTGGCTTTTATCAATTGACATTGTTTTTCGCATATATATATATTAATGATGAAGCCATATATAATATGTTTTCTTTTTTGTGTGGGGCCACACAAGACAAAATAAGCAATTTAGTGGAGGAAACAAATTTATATATAGTCATACATGAATTGTGAACTTTATGATAAATATTTTTTCTTGCGGGCCAATGATTTTCAAGGAAAGGTTGCGTTTGTATGGATAAGGCTTTTTGGGACCCATCTTGTACATCTTTTTAGTAAAAGGGGTAGGACCCTTATGAAAACTCCATCTAAAACCGACTGGCTTAGGTGATATATAAAAAATTTTTGAGATTAATTATTTAAATATCTAATTAATGAAATTGCAATTTTTTCTCTCCTAGGGTAATTTTCTTCCTTTTTTGTCTTTTTATTGTTCCGCCTTTATATATATATGTTCTTTTTTGGTGTGGCCACACAAGACAAATAAGCAATTAGTGGAGGAAACAAATTTTATATATATACATGAATGTGAACTTTATGATTAATTTTTTTTGGGGCAATGATTTTCAAGGAAAGGTTGGTTTGTATGAAAGGCTTTTTGGGACCCATTGTAGCATCTTTTAGAAGGGTAGGACCTTATGAAACTCATCTAAAACACTGGCTTTAGGGTATATAAAATTTGAGATTAAATATTAAATATCTAATTAATGAAATGCAATTTTTTCTCTCTAGGGTAATTTTCTTCCTTTTTGTTTTTTATGTTCGCTTTTCCTGAAAATAAGACTGAGATACAATGGTGGAGCTAGATCCCATGTTTAAGGGGCTAGGTAGAGCGCTGAGGTATAGGACTGAGGGGACCATCGCCGCCGAGAAATTTTTTTGAAAAAAAAAATACAATTCGATCCTTCAAAGTATAAAAATTATATTTTGCCTCTAAAGTTTAAAAAAGTTTTGGTTCGCTCCCCCAATTATTTTTTCTAGTTTCATCCCCTAGGCTAGGATTGAGCAAAATGATTGATTCAATAGAATTGGTATTGTTCGGTTTTGTTAGTTACAGTAAATTTAGTTGTTGATTTACCTTGGCTAAAATTATTATAGTGTTAACCGAAAAAAACAATTGAATGCCGTTCAATAACTAAAGGAGGCATGTTGTTGTGATATTCCATTACAATAAGGTTGAGAAAATAAAGAGAGGAGAGGCAAATGTCACAAACAAGAGTAGAGTTATAAGTGGCATGGATAGGATAAATTTTAATCAAAGTTCCACCTGCTAACTCATTATTTTCTTATTAACACTTTGCTACATCACCAATCAAAATCTTAATTCTTAAAAGAATTGTTAATTTCTTTCATAAAATAAAATTATATTAATGTTCTTTTTCTTGGGGCACGCATTTCTCATATGGAATTTTCTATTAGCGTCAGATAACAATAATTTTTGGTCAATAAAAATAAAATCAAAGATGAAATTTTAGAATAAGGATTCAAGAAGGGAGATAAGAGGTCTTAAATTTTTGGTCAACAATAATATTAGACTTTTGGTTATTTAGTATTGATATTTCATTATAAGAATAAGTAAAATTAAAGATGAAAAAGCAAGTTGATAACGTTAACAAAATCGAAAAAAGACAACTTTATTGAGAAAATCTATTTTTCTCTTTAAAATATTAAGAAACAAAAACAAAATCAATAGCAAACAAGACAGATTTCATACGCTATCTGAAAAAACTGAGAAAACTGGAAAAGGTTCTCAACTGATTTCCAATTTGATGGATTGAATTGTTCAAAAGTAATCCTAATTAGATAGCTTAGCCATCGAAATCAAGATAATATGATTAAATTGGACTCGAGCCTTTACTTTGAACCCACCAGCATGCAACATTCTTATGTAATCAACTCGAGTTAAAGTCTTCCACCTCCTAGCTCAGCCGGTCAGCCACCACTGGTTAGACCTATTGGTTAAAAATGCCTGAATCTGAATGTCTATTGCCATTAGCTTAATCAGACCCCGAACAAAGTACATGAGAACAAAACACCTCAAACTTCCCCAGACCAGACCTTAATGTAGCCAGTACAGAAAAGATGGTAGGTAACCAAAATAAAATCTACATCCATAGGACTTCTCTAAAGTGCAGAATAAGCTAATTTGCTCAATCAAACCAACAATTTACATACAGCAAATTCAGGAAACTATCTGTGTTACAAGTTTAGTAGCTAGGTCCAAGACAAAATGAGCTTCCAAGGTTTTAGATCATCGAAAAGTGTTCATGAGAAGTTGTCAAACCATGGTTAAAGGAAGCTTTGATTCCTAAACATAGTTTATGAAATCAACATACTATATTTTTCGAGATTAAAGTTCACTCTAATCCCTGATCCTACAATTAAGATCATAAGCAAGTCACCCTGCTCTCTCCAAAGTCCAAATTCCAGATCACTATGTTCAATATCAGTTTCTGCTTCCAACACCTAGGGAAATCAAGGGGTTCTGCAACACCAACATGTGAAGGTTGCAGCAAGGGGAAATATGGGAATAGAAGCACAAAAACAGACCACAAATTTCCATACATGGGTTTCAACATAAATTGGTATCCGCCTACCAGCCTATGCATTACACACTATTGAGTAGGAAATCTGGGCTATCAATTATTATAATAGCAATATAATTTGTTGATTTCAAAGGGGAAAACTAAAAATCAATTAAGTAGCAGAAACCTGCACTTCATTGCAAGATTCAGATCCATTGCAGTGAAAACTAGAAAACTCTAAAATAAACCCAGAGAAATTCCAGATAACCAGCCAGTTAACTACAAAACTTAAATCTAAGATATAAAAAGAAAAGGACAAAAAAAAGGAAAAAAAATCCAAGAATAAAACATTTGAAACAACCCCTACTAGTATTAAGGTCTACCAAAATTCAAAGATCCAATCACATAAATAACTAATCAAGTTGCAAGAAGACATGCTATAAATAAGTCAATCACATTCACTACAATCAATTAACACCAACTCAAACATTAGAGATTCTTAAATAAGACATCATATGATATCCAACAAATATATAGGTTTCAAACAACAATAACCCATGAAATCTCTCAAATCCACTTCAAATTATTAATCAGAGATAAATCCTAAATTTAACACCACAATTACAGTCAAAAGAATCTTATAGGGGAGAAACCCAAGTAACATAACTAACGAACAAACTTCTGCTTATTTCTTATCATTGTTTCCTTTACCTCCCGACTGCCCTGCCCCCGCAGCCTGCGCAGCCTTCTTCGCCGCCTTCTCTTGCAGTGCTTTCGCGTCCCTACAAAATTAAACCAAAGTTCACAATTATTAAACCCAAAAGGAGAGAAATTACGAGTAAAGCAGAAAAATTGGGGGAAAGATTAATACCTTTCACGGCGCTGTTCAGGTGTCAATCCGTCGTCCTTGCCCTTGCCCTTTCCGGGGGCCCGAGCCTGAGCTCTTTCACGATCGCGCTCCCTTTGGTTTCCGCGTGAGAAAGGATCTCAGTCAAGGAAAACGCAAAATCGTTTCACAAAACACAAATTAGCACCACAAAAGAAAAAATAAATTTAGATCTGAAGAAAAAAAAAAAAAAAGAAAGAAAGAAAGGATATGAGTCATTATCGACGATGAAGAGCAGCTGAAGGAGAGATTCTTTTGCGCCTTCTTCGAGCTGGGAGCTAATCGGAATAAAGTCAATTTTGTAGAATCGGACACCAGAGACGCTGGACCTCTCAACCGTTTTAAGCCTGTGTTTGGCGGCACAAGTAATCCAATCCGATTTAGGATATCCCGTCCTAATTTGGGAAAATGATTATTCCAATATCGGCCAGGCCCGAATTAATGCCCAAGTCTTATGAGATCATGAGATCAATATACATAATTATACTAGCTTCCGAGTTTCGAACTCAGTTCGAGTTGTTTTTTCTTAAATAGCCTATTAATGAATTTGGTTGTTTTCCTTAAAAAATTTAAAAAATAGTGCAGGCTATTTATAATCATGTCATTATTTTATTACAGTCCAAACAAATTTCCATTTAAGAAATATAAAATTTTACCGCTAATTTTTACTTCATTTTAACCATATTTCCTTCTCTATTTTTTTATATTATTACTACACCATTAGTCAGAAGAATAAACAAAATAAATTGTCAAAAATATATATATTTTTTAGTTAACTTCTTGTATTATAGGAAACATATATTACATTTTTCGTTTTATTTTGCAATATAATTTGCATATAACATCTTTTATTGGTAATCTAAATATTTTAACTCAATTTAATATATTACATTTACAAAGGATCGGTCAATGCTTAATCACCATGAAAAAATCTTAAACGACTTCTATTTTGAAATAGATCAATTTGTTGAAATTATAATTAATAATTTATTAAGAATGGATCGTCAATGCTTGATGAGTTTTCTTACAAGTGAATATCCAATTTAGTATATTACAATTCAATGAAATATAATACTCTCTCCATCTCATAATTTGTGTTATGGTTTGACTTGTATGGACTAAAACAATTTCATTAATATAGCTAAAATATAATTTAATTTTTATTTCATTTTTTCTTAATATGTCCTCGTGTTAATATCCATAACAATTGAATGATACATATTAAATTGTTCTTGAAATTAATTAAATATTGGATTAAATAAAATTTTATTGAAAAGTTAAAAAATTGATATATTAATTTTATTTATATTAAGATATAGTTAATGACAAATGGGATTCTCATTCAATTGAAATAATAATTGATTTATTAGGAAAAGTTGGGAGTATTAACTTCAAGATTTTGGCCACCTAAATAGCCAAAAGACAAGGAAGTTAATTAAAACAGTAAAAACATTATTAAATTAATTTTTAAGGGCACTTAGGGCCACCCTCCTTGGTCTTCCAATTGTTATAGCAAGGGCACTCTTCCTTGTGACCATATGTGCCTGAAGGAACACACAAACATTTTGCACAGCACTTGTTGCAATCATCTATACAATTTCCCCTGTGTTGAGTCGCGGAGCACCTGTAGTCACATGCTTTTGGACATTCTGAACAAATTTAATAAAAAAATTAGTGAATTTAATTCTTTATTTTTTTTATTTATAAATAAATTTTATAGAATTCATTTAATCCAAATAGGGGTAAGAAAGGAAAAAATATATATATATAAAAATAAGAGAGAATAATGAAGAAAATTACCTTCAGGACGCAGCGATCCCTCCTTACCAGCCTGTAGAAATACCATTTAATCAAATTTTAAATATGTTATTTTACATAATCATTTTAATTATAAAGAAAGCATACTTAATTAAACACTCTACTTGACTCTAATTTTTCAAATTAACCGTGATTAACTTGCAAATTAAATTACATATATATTTTTTGTCCATTTACTAATATAAAGAGAAAGAAAGCATGTCAATTAGGAAAACTATGTTTAAGGAAAAGGTCTCGATCTTGAGATCTCTCGACTACAAGAATTTTCACAAATTTAATGAATTAATATTAATTAAAAAAAAAAAAAGAGTAAGTTCGTATATACTAACACATGAGATGTCAATGAAAAAGGCCATAGAGAAGAGGAGGAAGAGGAAGGCACAGGGAAGAAATGAAAACTTAGCCATAGTGATAAATGAGCTCTAATAAGATTTATTAGCACTAATCTTAATTATAATAATGGATTGTTAGGGCATTCCATGTTATTTATAGGGACGGTTAGTAGAAGTTTTCTCTTCTTGAATGCAACGTGTCAAAATCCCATTTCACAATCCTGGTTATAAATGTAAGGTTTGAGTTTTCTTTTGCTGTCTTTTTCCATTCTATCTCTTGGTAATGAATTCTAGAAATATTAAAGGAAAAAAAATCAAAATTGTAAGATTTGTATATTTAATGGGGTGTTCATACACCTCCAAAAATTGCTAAAATCGAACTAATCAATACAAAATTATTATTTTGAAGAATTAGTGATTTGATTTGATTTGTGAAATTTTACAAATTAAATTATTGATTCAATTTATATTTCCGAAATTAAATTTGAATTTAAAATATGTAATTTAAATTTTCGTGAATATATTTATGTATTTGACAAAAATTAGTATTATGAACGCTCCTAAAATTTAATGCCACAGTTGTCTAAGTAGTGTGGATCTCTATTTAACATTCCATTTTTAATATGATAACCTTGTCAACATCGTTAATGTTGTCAAATCATCCGTATATAGATTTTTTTTATAGTGAATATAATTTATTCTTATTAATTTAGACATTTTATCCCTTTTTTTTTAATTTATACTACCGGTATTTGAAAATTCACTGAGTTGCGACTACAGTGTTCCATTCAAGTAATTACAGGGCTTATATAAGAGATGACTCTCTCAACGTAGAACGCAGCAATTTTCGTACCAAGGCTCGAATTCGAAACTTTTGATAGAAAAAGAAAAAGTCCTAATTACTCAATTTCAATGAACCTTGGTAGCCGTTTTACCTTTTTTTTGTTTTGTTTTTATTTTATTTTTGGTTAATGGTGTTTTTGAACCGATTTGTATTTGGATTGAGATTTAAATTTCTTTTCTTTTTTTTATTTAGGAAAGATTTAAATCTCTTTTCAAGTAAGTTTAAGGACACCTTCCATATTTGATTGTTAGGAATAATATTTGATTTACTTTCTAAATTTGATCATAATATTTAATTTGTCTTTTGAATTTGATTTGTAAACTTGAATTTTCAATTAGAAGATCAATTGAATTTATTTTTTTATTAGAATAAGTGTATAGGAATTTAAGTGTTAATTTAAACACAATTTAAAAATCTAATTATATTTTATCAAAAAAAAAAAACCCATATCATTCACTTACTATTAGCAAGTGAAAAGTTAGACCAAATGCATTTTCTAATTGACAGATTTTATTAACTTTTTAAGTCTAAAAAAAAAAATTATGAGTAAATTATATTTCGCAAATAAATTCATGGATAATTTTAGAATTTTTTTCGGACATTCAAAGAGGATTTCTTCTTTTAAGACATGAGGAGTAAAAACCAAACTTACCTTAGTCAAATAAAGGTGCTCCGATCCTATCTCAACTGAGAAAAACTAAAAACAATAAAATAAAATAAAATAAAACCTGATGAATTGCAATTAATAAGTAAAGGGAAGGGTGGTTTGGTTAAACTGCTTTGTAAAGCTAATTTATATTTAATATTTCTATTATATCATAAAACTTTAATAACAACCAACTTCATTTGTATTTACATTATTTTAAAATTATATTAATATGAAAAAAATTATTAATAATTTTTAATTAATATTTTAAAGTCCATTATTTTTTTAATTATTTAAAAACGATAGATATTATATAATATATATATATATAAATATCACATGATGATTTATGATTAGACATTTATCACTTGTCAGATTGTTTATATATCTATTACTAGATTATATCTTGGTATATGTCTTTTTGGGTACTCATTTGAAAAAAGAAAATTTATTTATCATTTTAAACAATCAAAATATTGATTTAAAATATATAAATAGTTTTTATTTAAATATATTTTATTACTAAAATAAAAAAAATTATTTTTTAATCAAAAATTAATGTTTTTATTGGTCCGCAATAAAAGAATTTCTTTATTATGTCACAAGGTTAAAATATTAGAAAATATTTTTTATTTTAAAATTTTGTTTAAATTAAAATTTTAGACAAAATTAAAATAAATTAATGACTAATTTTTTAGTTATTGAAAATATTGTGTATATTTTAATGAAGAATAGTTAAAAATTATTGGGTTTATCATTTATGGTAAAAAAAAATCGAGCCATGAAATTGTTCCAACGAAACTTCAAAAACTAATAATAATTCACCAAATGAATTGAATCGAGATATAAAATTTTACCCCTCCGTTCCATAAACCCTATCTTTGTTTTACCAGTTACCGCCGTTTTTTTACCTGCGCTTCCACTCTGCGACCCATCTTGTCCCTGAGTTACAGTGTGGAGGACCTGAGGGAGGCCGAAAACCAAAGCCCCTTTAAAAGCTTCAAGCAACTGTCTGTCTCTTCTTTCGCCGTCTGTTCCTCTAACACTGCTTTGTTGGATCCTAATCTCCTTCTAAATCCCTCAATCTTGATGTAATACTTGGATTTTTAACCACTAAATATCTATTCCTCTTCTTCCTCCAGATTTAGAGGTAAAATCTTCTATTCAATATTCTGATATGTTTTGAGTCACTGTTCCTTTTTGTTCCTTAAAATATGGTTGCTTGATGTTGATGTTTGATATCCGCTTTTGCTTTTTTTACTAGATTTGCTTTGAATCACTCGTCTGCACTTTTGAATCCCACATAATTATTTGGGTCCTATGCAGAAGTTCAAAAAAAAAAAAAAAAAAAAAAATTACAGTGTGGAGGACCTGAGGGAGCCGAAACACCAAACCCCTTAAAAGCCCTTCAAGCAACTGTCCTGTCTTCTTCTTTCGCCGTCTGTTCCCTAACACTGCTTTGTTGGATCCTAATCTCCTTCTAAATCCTCCAATCTTGATGCTAATACTTGGATTTTTTTAACCACTAAATATTCTTATTCCTCTTCTTCCTCCAGATTTAGAGGTAAAATCTTCTATTCAATATTCTTTTGATATGTTTTGAGTCACTGTTCCTTTTTGTTCACATATAAATATGCCGTTTGGCTACACCGCATGAATACTCAATAGATGGTTAACCTTAGAGTGTGGATCTCTCGACATTTTAGCTCATATTTATCAGAATATGGGTAACTAGTGAGTATATGACGCTACCTTGCTAATCAGCGTTCGTACTAAGCAGCTTTAATTGATAATCCCACATATTATTGGAAGCGTCCAAAATATGGCAGAAGCTTCACAAAAAAAATAAAAAAAAAAAAAAATTCTATTCTTTTGCCATAATTTTGCCTTATCTTCTTAGTTTGCCCATTAAATGTTCCTTTTTAGTTATTTTCATATCCTTGTTATGCTTCACAGGGCACATTCAAGGGGGCTTTAATTTATATAGATTTTGGCATTGGTTGGGGTTATTTAAAAAAAAAAAAAAAAAAAAAAAATTCTATTTTTTGCATAATTTTTGCTATCTTCTTAGTTGCCCATAAATGTTCTTTTAGTTATTTTCATATCCTTGTATGTTCACAGGACATTCAAGGGGTTTATTTATTAGATTTTGGATTGTTGGTTAATGATTATGTTGTTTATGTTTCTCATCGACTATCTGACTATTTGGTTACTTGCTCTGACTATTGGTTTTGTCTATGTAGTACTAGGCTGATTAGCTTGCTTACAATCACTTTTTCGGTTTCTCTCTCTCTCCAGCACATAAGTTTGGTATATGTATTTAGTTCTAATTGGTGGATATGTTGGTTGATTTCTTGTTGATTGTTTGTGGCATTTGCTTTTATTGGTGGTTTTGTTTTGTTAGTGTTCAATGGTTTGTTTATGGATCTTTTAGGGACCAATGGGGAAAAGGGTTAAGAAAAAGAGCCGCTCTTTGCAGAAGGAGAAGCGGATTACTCCCCATTCCCCTAAAATTGCACCTCTACAAAGCAATCCTGGAGATAATATCAGTGATGAAGGAGTTGCAGCATTGAAAGAGAGAAAATCATGTGCCCACCTTGACAAGGGTTTTAATTTGAATAATCTGTCTGAGAAATTTGGGTCTTCAAATCCTTTAAGGTGTGAGGACTGTAGGGAAGGTGTGGCTGATAGGAGAGGAGCAAAAGGAAAGGGTAAACATGGCAAGAAGAAAGGCTCAGCTGATCCAAAATCGGAGTCAAAAGCCATTTGGGTTTGTTTAGAGTGTGGACATTATGCTTGTGGAGGGGTCGGCTTGCCAACAAGCCCGCAAAGTCATGCACTTCGACATAATAGACAAACCCGTCATCCCTTGGTAATGCAATGGGAAAACCCTCATCTTCGTTGGTGCTTCCTGTGTAATACCCTAATTCCAGTCGAGACAATGGAAGAAAGTGGTGAAAAAAAAGATGCACTATTGGATGTTGTAAAATTGATGAAGACAAGATCATCAGAAAGGTCATCAGTGGATGTTGAGGATGTTTGGTTTGGAGGTGGCAGTGTTGCTAGTGAAATCAAAGCAGAAGGCACTGTATCAAACAGCTTGGAGGGAAGAGGTGGTTACATTGTAAGAGGTTTGGTTAATCTTGGGAACACTTGCTTCTTTAATTCGGTTATGCAGAATTTACTATCTATGGACAAGTTGAGGGATTTCTTCTTTGATCAAGATGCATCATTTGGGCCTCTTACCATTGCTTTGAAAAAGCTCTTTGCTGAAACAAAACCAGAGACGGGTTTAAAAAGTGTGATCAATCCAAGATCTTTTTTTGGGTGTATATGTTCAAAAGCTCCTCAGTTTAGGGGATACCAGCAGCAAGATAGTCATGAGTTGCTGCGCTGTTTACTTGATGGTCTGTCTTCTGAAGAGTTGGGTGTGAGAAAACAGATAAATGCTTCAAAGGAAGATGGAATTTCTTTGAAACATGGTTCTACATTTGTAGATGCTCTGTTTGGTGGCCGAATTTCTAGTACTGTATCATGTATTGAATGCGGCCACTCCTCAACTGTCTATGAGCCATTTTTAGATCTTTCCCTCCCAGTTCCAACCAAGAAACCTCCAACTAAAAGGGCCCAACTAGTTGCTAGACCAAAGAAAACAAAGCTGCCGCCAAAGCGAGGGGGGAAGATTCGAGGAAAAGCTAACAAAGATATAGATTCCGTGCCAGCACAAAGCATTTCAAACCCCACAGCTAGCAAGGAGTCTCCATGCCAAACACTGTCGATGGTAGCTCAGGCAGAAAAAGCGGTGGCTTCTTCAGGTGATGCTGCAGGATCAAATTCTGTTTGCTTAACTAGTATGGATGATAAAGGTAGTTTGGTCTCACAGAAAATCTCAACTGCTCCAGATGCTGACAATGACCAAGTTGTTGAGGCTAAAGTGGAGCAAACAGCAGCTTCATTTGACAACTTCACATGGATGGATTATCTTGGACAAGAAACTATAGCTGATGACCCTTATTTAACTTCACAAAAGAATGATGTTTCAACAAGTCAGTATTCTAAGAATATGATTCCAAATGATGGCTTAATGGAGAGTAGTCATGTATTTTCTGTTGACGGGGAGCCAACTCCAAAACTGGACTCTTCTTCTGTGAATCCTTGGGAAGAGGAGGTTCCATTACAGGTTACAAGCTCTGAAGTGCTGTTGCTTCCATGCAAAGAAGAGAGTTTTACTAATGGGGAGATAATAAGAGGAGAAGCTGGGCCCTCCTCTTCTGTTGTGGGTGGACAGGATGAAGCAGATTTTGACGGCTTTGGTGATTTATTCAATGAGCCCGAGGTTTCTTCAGGACCTGTTGCAGGGCCATCCTTAGACAATGAAACTGCAAGAACTGGTTTTACAGCAGGAAATAGCAGTGACTCTGATCCAGATGAAGTTGATAATAGCGATTCTCCCGTGTCTATTGAGAGTTGTTTGGCTCATTTTATAAAGCCAGAGCTTCTTTCTAATGACAATGCTTGGGAATGTGAGAACTGTTCAAAAACCCTGCCGCGCCGAAGGTTGGAAACCAAGAAGAAGCAATCTAAAACTGCGTTAGAAACTATGATAAATGGAGGTGAGACTCGATTCCATAGCCATCTGCCAAATTTAGACAAGGACAACTTACATTCTACTGAAGTCAGAAACCTTCAAAATGGAGATATGAATACTGCTAACATTCTCAACTTTACAGGTGAAAGCTTGAATAATGGAAAGATTGTCTGTTCTAGTCAAAATTGCATAAAAGCTGAAACTAGTCAAACGGATGAGCTAAAACTGAGTGTTTCTCAAAGTGAACAGAAGGGTGACATGACTGTTGCTCATGCAGAGCAATCCCGTTCTTCTACTCTCTATGAATCATGCAGTCAAGAAAGTATCAGTTCTGCTGTTGATTCTTCCACTGTTGATGAGCCAAGTAGCACAGGGTATACAACTGCTAAAGATCAGCTGGATGATTCCCAATTATCTGGAAACTGTGATGCAGAAGAAGATGAAGACAAGGAGAGAACTTCCAAGAAAGTGAAAGTGAAGAGGGATGCAACTAAAAGAGTCCTTGTCGATAAAGCCCCACCTGTTTTGACTATTCACCTAAAGAGGTTCAGCCAAGATGCACGTGGTCGTTTAAGTAAATTGAATGGCCACGTCAATTTCGGAGAGATACTTGATCTGAGGCCTTATTTGGATCCCAGGTACATTTTCAAAACTCCTGTATTTCATCTCTTTGATGACATAAAACATGACTAGATAGAAGCTTAACTACATCCACCCTTGTTATGAAAATGGAATGGCAGTGTTGGGACTTTCTGCTAAGGATCTATGATGTCATAGTTACTAGATCAAGGATACCTTTTGTTCTTTTCTTGTTTGGGGTTGTGTTGTTGTGACACATTTTTGTCAGGGTTCCTCCACTGATGTTCTAAGAATTCCTAGGAATTCCCCCCTGTCACTCTCCCAGAAAGAGAGAGATAGAGAGTTCCAAGGGCAGCCAGAAGTTGCTATTATTAAGCCTTACCAGGCCTCTAAGGAGTTTCTGTTGCAATTTGGTTTTCAATAATTTGGTTTTGTTTGACAGAGTTTAGAGTCATAGACATGGCTGAATGCTCAATATCTTTTGTGGTTGATTGTTGGCTGGAAGTTGTTGGATAGATTTTCATGGAGGTTTTTCTTTTTCTTTCTTTTCTTTCTTTCCTTTTTTTTTTTTTTTTTTTGTTCAATCAAGAAATTCTAGGGAATTACCCCCCTGTCACACTTCTCCAGAAAGAAGAGAGATCACGAAGAGTTCCAACAAGGCGCAGCCAGAAGTTCCTATTATTAAGCAATAAAGAGCCTCTAAGGAGATATTCTGCTTGCAATTTGTTTTCAATAATTTGGTTATTGCTTCTGACAGAGCTTTTAGAGTCAATAGACATCGGCTGATATGCTCAATATCTTTTGTTGAGTGATATGTCTGGCCTGTAAGAATAGTTGTGGATAGATTTTTCCATGGAGTTATTTACTTCTTGTCTTCTTTTCTTACTTTCCTTTTTTTTTTTTTTTTTGGCGTTTGCTGTTTGCGGATACTGACTTTGCCTTGCTTTAGTGTCTAGTTGTTGAAACTTTTGGAACAAATTATGTTGCATCAAAACGCATTTTGGTCTTTTTTTTTTTTTTTTTTTTGGTTGCTGTTGCGGGATACTGACTTGCTTGTTAGTGTCTGTTGTTGAACTTTTGGAACAAATTATGTGCATCAAAACGATTGGTCTTGCATTAGCTGCTTGTTTATGTTTTTTGTGTATGTGTATATGCATGAATTGCATTATGTAGGCACCCTTTTTGAATTAATTACTGATTACACAGTAGATCGCTTAATATTTAACAGATGCTAATAAACTCATATGACAAGCAGTTTTTGTATTTGGTTAAGATGACATGTGTCCAAATATGTGCAGTTTCTATATACTATTGGTTGTAAAGATTAATGTATATACTATCAAGGGACAGATTAGTCTATGTCTTTAATAAAGATAGAACTTATGTGAAAGCTCTTTTCTCATAGCTGTAGGGATAATACTTAATATGCTTTTAACTATCACTTTCTATGAGTCAACATCTTAGATCTTATGTGCTATATAAAGGAGGCTATAAATTTGTGCAGACTTAAGTTTGTGATTTTTCTTTCTCTTTTGTTATCTCTTTCCTTTTATTACCAAAAAATATGTCTCCTAGTTTATATGCAAGAGGGGAAAAAGAGAAAAAAAAAAGAAAAGAAAAGAAAAGAGGCACCAATTTTGTCTTGCATGTCTAATTCCATGTCAAAAGTATTAAAAATTTTTGAGTATTCATTCAATATTAAAAGAGGTTATGCATATTATAGCACCTGGCTATATGCATTTGAATTTCTACAACCTGACTTTTCCTAAATATTCCAAGTGGAAGAAGCCAAATATCATCATATATCATGATTCTTTGCTTTCCAATTATAGCTGTACATTCTTTCAACTTATCCTCTTTTCTGATTCTCATTTTTTGAGGAATGATTTAAACATAATTTTGATGGTTGCAATTATAATCAACTAATACAGTCAGAGCAATGATCTTCCGATATAGTTTCCGGCTTGCTATTTTAATTGATGGATTATGTACTTACTTTACACTCTGTGATAGTTTGTAATTAATTACAGTGTGCTATATTTTTGAGAATTTGCAGGTGTGTGGACAGAGAGAAATATATGTACCGTCTGGTTGGAGTAGTAGAGCATTTGGGAACAATGATAGGAGGTCACTATGTTGCTTATGTAAGAGGAGGTGTGAGAAGCAAAGGCAAGGAAGAGAATGAAAATGGTGATTCTGTATGGTATCATGCCAGCGATGCCTATGTACGAGAGGTTTCCTTGGAAGAAGTTCTTCGCTGTGAGGCATACATCTTATTCTATGAGAAAATCTGATATTTCAATACTTTTCCAATACATATGATTCTTCTTTGAGATAGTCTGGGGTCAACTAGCAACCCCAAAGAGGAGAGAGAAAGAGAGAGACAAGTTAAAAAAAAAAAAAAAAAAACCACAGAATACATATGATTCTTTCTTGAAGAAGTAGTCTTAGGGCGTCAATAGAACAAGAGCGGAGAGAGAAAGAGTGACCCGAGACAAGCTTAAACAAATAAAAAAAAAAAAGAAAGATGGAAGTGTACCATCAATATATCATAATTTGATAACCATTTATTATTGACGTGGTAAATAGCGAAAATAAACGGGGGGGAGCAAATATCGATAATATTGTGAAATTAAATTCTCATGGAAAGCAAAAATCTCCCATTAACTTGCTCTTTCTTTTGCCCTTCTTCATGTGCCACTTTTATTTAAGGAAAATTGGCTCAATTGAAAAGATTTGTTTAATCTATTTGATGATGAAAGACAAATGATCATAGTAGCGAAGCTGCAACTCTAATGCAAGCCTTTGTATAAATTATGCCTAAGCAGTCACCACTCGTCGCACAATCATTGTCCTCCATGATTATGAAGTTCAAATATACCATTCTTTATGCAAAGTTTCACTCTGTTTGCTTCTTCTTGGCCTTGTGTCAAAACACAAAGTAAATTCCAAGTCACAAAATTCAGTCTACCATTGACAATACTTGTATGGAACTCATGATCTGTTCTACCTCGATCTTAAATATTCGAAGATTCATATACAAGAAAAATTAATAAATCCTTTAAAAAAAAAAAAAAAAAAGAAAGATGAGTGTACATCAATTATCATGTATTTGATACCCATTTTTTGACGTGTAATCAATACGGATATGTAAATTGTGAAATTATTTCATGAGAAAAATTCATTCTTGCTCTTTTTTGCCCTTCTTCATGTGCCATTTTTTTAAGGAAAATTGGCTCTTGAAAGATATGTTTTCTATTGATGATGAGACACTGTCATAGTGCGAAGCTTGCAATCTTGCAAGCTTTGTTAAAATGCTAAGCAGTCACCACCGCACAATCCTTGTCCTCCATGATTATGAAGTTCCAAAATACTCTTTATGCAGTTTCACTCGTTTGCTTCTTCTGGCCTTGTGTCAAAAACAAGTGAAATTCCAAGTCAAATTCAGTCTACCATGAATACTTGTATGGAACTCATGTCTGTTCTACCTCGTATATTGGATTCATACAAGAATTTCTCTGATTTAATGTGGCATTTGCTGGGATATACGTTCAATGAATACACCATCAGACAGGAAAAGTAACAATTAATTATAAAACCGGGCAGCTAATTTTCAAATCCTTGTTCAATTTGATTATACATGTTATACTAAATGAAAGCTCTGATAACAACAGTCGCTTTGGCCGAGTGGTTAAGGCGTGTGCCTGCTAAGTACATGGGGTTTCCCCGCGAGAGTTCGAATCTCTCAGGCGACGATCAAATTTTTTGCTCCTATGTATTAGGATCTTTAATGCAAATGATATCATGGCTTCAATCAACAATTTACTTTTTTGGAGAACAAAAAAATAAAGAAAAAGGACACAATTCTCATTCTGGTCCGCTCTCCCGTAGCATTTGCATTTATAAATACCCAACAAAAAGAAAAAGCAAGAAAGAAATAAATAAAGAAGCCTATTCTCTCTCTCTCTCTCTCTCTCTCGCTTTACCAAATAAACCCATAACGCACACATACACCAATTAACTCGCTCCCTATAACACCCTCCCAACTCTCTTTTTCCATGGCAACATTCTTAGCCCAGCTTATATCTATCTTCTTTATCATCGTCATCACCCTTGGCAATATCACTACTCTGCCATTAGCAGAAGGAAACTGGTGTGTGGCAAGAAGTGATGCTAGCAACCAAGCTTTGCAAACAGCTTTAGACTATGCATGTAGTACTGGAGCTGACTGCAGTCCTTTACAGTCCAATGGCCTTTGCTTTCTCCCCAACACCATCCAAGCTCATGCTTCCTATGCCTTCAACAGCTACTTTCAGCGCAAGAGCATGGCTCCTGGCTCCTGTGATTTCTCTGGCACTGCCACTATTGCAAGAACTGACCCAAGTTGCTATCTTTTTCCTTTTTTCTTTATTCTTTAGGCATTTCTTTAACTTATGAGCCACTTTTGTTTATGGGGTTTGTTCTTTGGTGTAGGTTATGGATCTTGTGTGTATCCATCTTCTTTAAGGTATGTTCCTGAAGATTTTGATCAATCTTTCTTTGCTTTTCGTGTTCTCTAATGTGACACAAGTGGATGGTTCTGGGTTCTTCAGCCTTTTAAGATACAAGTTGATTAGAATAAAATAGTTACTTCATCTCGAAGTAATTAATAGGTCCTTTGTGTGTTGCATTTATCCTTAATTACTGTAATTAGCTTTCTTAATCCCCATCTCTCTCTTTAGCAAGTTGTATGTTGTGGATGTATTACACGTGTCTTTTTGCACAGGGTTATTTTGATTTCTCAATTAGAGATCCAACGGTTCATTTTATAGTGGGCACTAGTTTCAATTTGCTTGTCCTATCACAATGTGTTTTCTCTTTTCAATACATTGGTCTCCTCATTAACCATTTGTTGAGCTTAGGTTCAAAGATCATCCGACGGACAGGATCCTCTAGGTAGGATGATTAAATGAATAGAGGCACAGTGAGTCTGTGACTTCTTTTGGTGGGTATCAGACATATCTATGCAAATTTTTGCCTTCAGTCTGACTCTGATATTATGGTATATGACTGCTTTGCAGCTTTCTTTTGTACACAGAAGAGTGTGGGGCTGGTAGGGTAGGGTCCATTCTATTCACTGTTGTTCATGTAATTGTCAGACCAAAGTTTTTACCTTTTGCCCATACTTTTAAAGTTAATTACTCTTAGAAAAAGACTTCGCGTTAATTTGAAAATCTTTTTACTGTTTTTTTTTTCTTGTGATCTGAAAATAAGTAGAAGATGCTTTTTGTGGGTTGATCTATATTTTCAATTAGAAAGCATTATTCTTTGAGTTAAGACCACCTATAGATCCTTAATCACTGTAATTAGTGTTGGTATTGCTGGGGTTTTCTTTTTTCTTTTTTATAAAATTTTCCAGAAGTTGGTTTGAATGTGGAAGTGTTATCATTCTTATACTATCTATGGAGCCATTATTTGAAAAGTTGTTCATAATTTTATAGGTTTATCTTGAGATCCCTACAATAAAGTGCTTAGTGTTTCCGTCCTCTTTATACTTTGGAATTTTTATGGTGAGATTACTCATTGGTCATTACACTATTGTCTCCATTGTGATGGACACATTGGAAATGGTAAAACTTGTTATGGGGAAAGAGGATTTGTTGAGAAATTAGATTGTTTCACTTTCACTTTTTAAGGGGTCCAAGGCAATGCATTTGCTGGTCTTCTTGTGGACTAACAGATCGCCCCTTAATCAAGGTTAAATGTGAGCTGTAAGGGTGCTTCTTAGTACTATATATGTCTTTAAGGGTAGTATAAAGTGCATCTAGAAACATGGTCTTGATAGGAATCCAGATACTGAAGCTGGTTTTCCTCCAAACCACCTTGAAATGCAAAACTTTGCCTTAGCTTTTTCCCCACAGGCATGCACTGCTGGAAGTGGCAACGGTTGGCAAAGATGCTTATAGGTCTTTTTTAGATGCTCAACACGCTTTGCATTTTAGAAAAACGAACAAGAATCCGTGAAGGGTTTGTTTAGTGGTTTAACCACAACAAAAAGTTTCGTTCTGTTCTTCCAAAGGAATTAAGATCTCATAAGCTGGATAGGAATTTCAAACACATTTATGGTTACAGATATATTTGTCTTTAAAATATTAAACATCTTGTCTTGTATCTTACTGGTTTTCTAGATTGTGCTTCATGAATGTTGGATTATATAATACTTCAACAACTCATGTTACTGGGTTCCAATGAATAAAAAATTATCTTTTGTCTTCACATGGTCAATGTTCATATTTAGGATCTTCTGACATATATTATTAAGATGTTCAATGTTCAACTGCTTTTATATGTTCAGTTTAGGCTAATTAAATACTCTTGAATCAAAGAATGCATGGAAGTATTGTCTAAGATCTTTTCTGTAATCTTTTCTAAACAAATATTATGCAATTCAAGAAATCTGCTGATGATACTTGCAATAATTGAAATCTCTAGCACTGCTGGAGGGGGCGCTACTACTCCAACATCAACATCTACAAACAACCCGAATACACCAACACCACCAATGACCACTTCACCTGTAAACGGCGGTGGTACTGTCGGACTGAATCCTGGAATGACTCCATCTCTACCGACTGATAATTCTAAAGCTTCAACTGGTCTAATGGCAGCCAAAGTTATAATGCCTATTTCTATTTTCCTTGTTCTCTCGCTTACCTTTTGATTGAAGCGCCAGTCCTTTAAGCCAGAGTAACAATGCTCTCATCTTGAGGAAGAGGCTTATACACAGTTTTGTTAGGAAGTTGGAGCTGTCATTGTTGCTACCATATAGCTTCCTGGTGTAGCTTCAGATCTTTCATCTCTTTGGTTCTTTAATGAGAAAACTATTCTTGGCAAGCTTCAAACTAAGCTGGTATAGAGAGACTTACACGCTATCATGTAGTTAGCGAGGAATTTTCGGTAGTTAATCTTTGTAGGTCCACAAATTAAACTCAATTGTTCTACCTGATTCTTGTAACTTTACTATTATTGCTAATGTATGAGAGCTCTCATCCATAAGGCATCCTAATGTCAAAAAAGAAAAATCTAATCTCTAGTATATGGTACTTTGAATTTCTAAATTAGATGCACTTATATTGCAACTGATGACAAGTTAAGAGTACGAGGGAGGGGCAATTGTAAGTTTTGTCTATACGACTGATTATCTTTTGTTAACTAGGCACTTCTCAGGTTCCCTTACTATGTAGATGATATCCCCAGCAATTCCGTAGAAATTTTGGTTCCGGTGCCAACTCCACAAAGCATGAGTCTCATTTTTCACCTGTAATGTAAAAAATGCAGGCGCAAGCAGCCTATCAGTTGGCGTTCTGATTTTTGATCTAGAAAATACTAAAAGCAAAAGTAAACCAACAGAGAGAGAGAGAGAGAGAGAAAGGACCTCTAGTATTCCATGACCAAAGCTGCTTTCTCTATATGCACTATACTCAGGCTGCTGATCCCAGCAAAACTTATTTGCAGCAGGACCTGATGTAAAATTGAATGCACAGAAGCCACCAATATCTTCGTCTGCCGTAGCGTATGGCTCGGGACAATTACCAGGATCATCAGCATGGCTAATTGCCATGTCCTCCCTACTACCACCATCACCCACCGTAATGTAAACTGGACCACACGGATCCAACTTGAAATTGTACACTCGGTTCAACCTCTCATATGCATGAACCTACAGATTAGTTTGGTATGAAATAATGCACCTGCATCTCATTTACTTAGAAATGCTTAAATATTGTTGTTTTTCGAGAAGTAATCTTACATGCGCATTGAAGACTATGTCAACACCATGTTCATACAGCAAATCCTCCATTTCCTGTTTCATACATTCTGCTTCTCTATAATGTGCCTTGAAGGTGCTGTACCAAGGAGGGTACCAAGCGGCCACCAACCAGGGAGTCACTTCTCTATCAACATTATACAGGTCTTCTACCAACCAGTTGAATTGATCGGCTGCATTAAGAAGTCCATATAATTAGGCTGGATACATTCACAGCATAATATGGGGTAAAAAAGGACAAATTGATGAATTTACATGTTTGATCATAGGAAACGTAAGGACTGAGTATCACAAAATGTATACCCCCAGCATTGAAAGAGTAGTACAGTGTTGATGATGAGCCACTTTCTTCAGATGGGAAAGCAAATCGATAACTATAAGCAACAAATATCTGATCTTCAGCCTGTTGTTCGATTTCATGTTTCCCTCCTATCACCATTGTGGGAACATTAGCTAGAAGGGGCTGCATAAACCTGCTGCCAATATGCAGAATTGCATTAGCTACAAAACCATTATAAATTTTTATCAGAATATAATTTTTAAAAATGTAATAAGGAAAGATGAAACTACTGCACTGATGGGCGTTTTGACGAAATGGAAAATTAAGTAATATTACAGGCTCAATTCTGTATGAACTTGCTATATTTGATTTTTGAGCTTTGAATATTATTAGAATTAGTAGTTTGACCTTCCCCAATAATCCCAACGCGGCTGGTACGATTCATGGATAGGAGTTTGTGGAAATGAGCAAGAATAACAATCAGAACTGGTACCATTGGCGAGATACATATCAGCATAACTTATACCCCCAACCAAAATAACAAGTTCAGGATGGTTACTGAGCAAGTAGCTGAGTGTTGTACTTGTATTGTAAGTGAGACCTAAGTCTCCCACCACTGCTATTCTGCTGGGATAAGTTGTGGGACTGGAGACTGGCATAGTTTTAAAATAGAACACATCACTCATTTCTCCTATATAAGGATCTCCACATTGATATTGATATAGTGTATCAGGTTCTAGTCCTGCAAAAACACATTATACAGTGTGATTGCAAAAACTTTTAGGCGTTTCGGATGGTTGTTTGCTCCCTAAATCTAAAAGTCTGTTTGGCATTACTGTTTTATTTTTATTGAGAAAGAGCACTATCTTGAAAATATTGAATGGAATTTATAAAAGTTTGCTTTTAAGATGTTGAAAACTGCTAAACAATACTCCAAAATTGTAATTTTTTCGAAACATCTATTTTAACCTTCATGCCAAACAGACTCTTAGAACAATAATCTAGTGAACAATTCAATTAGAACTAAAAGCAAAAGAAACTAAAATATTCGCTGTGTTCAGAAAATGATGATATCAGGAGTTCAAATATTGATCCAAAGAAATTAAGTAAACACCTTATAACCATAGCAAGCAAAGTTCTTGAACAGAATGAAAGTGAGAACTACCTGTGAGGCGAACATGGTGTATAATGCCAGAAGTATAGTTTTGAACATCTTCAAAAGGATAAAGCTGATTATAAACAAGTGAATAGCCAGTTGCCTGATAATCAAGAGGCAATCCTGAGATTCCATATACGACAACACTAGAAACAGATTCAGGATCTAACTGTATTATGTTATAACCAATTTGGAAATCCCCTGTAATTCAAGTTAAGTAACATCCTCATCAGATTAAAAGAATTAAAAACAATACAAAGCCAGCAAATTTGTTAGTAAGTTACAAGTTTCACCATTCAATCTTTAATACTAATAATTCTATGCCACTGGCCTTAAAAGACCTCAAATTTCCACCTTAAATTTGAAACAAAAAAATTTTTAAATATTTAATCTGTTACTTAACTGCATGCTTCTACAGTTAAGTTCTTAAGAGCACAAAACCCACTAATTTTCATACCAAATATCCTCTTTTCATATTTAACACAAAAATTCAAACTTTGACATCAAGATTCAATTTTTATGCACCATTATCCTGTGATGGTCAATTTTTTGTAGAAAAGACAAGAGAAACTCACGATAATTAAAAGCAAATACAATAATAATAATAACAGTAGCCAGTAAAGAGACCTGTTACCCAAGAGATCCAAACAGAATCATAAGTTGAAGAGAGAGAGACAGAAATTTGTTGAGGCTCAAAACCTTCGACATTCTTTTGAAGCTGAGGGTAAGTGTCTGGTAAGTCTATGGCATTTCCATGGTAGGTCTTGTTATCAAGAGGGACAGTTACAGGCTTGAAAGGTCCTTCAAGAGTAGTAGGAAAATCACCATGAACAATGTCTGAAATGCATACAAACGAGGAAAAAAGAAAAATTCTGAAAATTGAGACCATATCCATTTCTTGGGTTTTGCTTGAAACAAGCAAAGAACTGAATTTAAAGTCACTAGCTATAGCAAAAAAAAAGGTTGGGAAGAAAATATATGTAGAAAAGGTCTTAGCCAATTTAATCATTCTCCCCTAAAAATATGTCTAATTTGAGTTTCAAGCAAAATGTAATTAGTACTGCTGAATCATAAATTTTACTTAATTTTTATTTCCTAATTTAAGAATAATAATATCCCACATTTTAATTAATTAATTATTTTAAAAGGTTAATTAATAGTAACATATTAATTGATGAGAATATGCACTAAATATAACTAAATAAAAAGAAAAAAAAATATTTTCTTTTAAAATGGAAAATAAAAAACAAATGGAAAAAAGAAAAGCCTATCTTCTTGAAAGAGGGAATTTATCATCATTGACCAAATGAAGTTCACGGGTTCTTAGGTTGCTGAGAGAAATCTGAATGTGCATTTTTGTTGTTTTCACATGTTACCAGTGAGAATGTGACAGGCTGAACAAGTGACGATTACAGATTCTGGACCTGGATCACCGTTTAAACTTGTAAATTTTTTATCCAGAACATTAGCCCTAGCCATACAGTATATTAACATTTTATTTTTTCTCTTTGAAAAATATTAATATTTTCTTTCTTTCAATGTAAAATGAAAAATAGTCTAAAGATATATAATTTTTTTAAGTGATAAATTGTTTTCTCCAAGATTATGAAATTAAAATATTGATGTTGGATTGTTGGGACTTGGACCAAGTGACTACAAAGGCTAAAAGACAGAAAACGAAAATATATTTTTTTTAAATTTCGAATAATTCATTTTCTGTTATTTAATTATAATTTTAAAAGTTAATTAAAAACATGTAAAATTTTTATTATAAGACTGTAAATTTTTATTCTAAAAATGAGAAAAATTACATAAAAATGATAAATTGTAAATGGCTATAAAAAACGGGCGGCGGCTATCAATAATTAATAAATTAAAAAAAATACCCGATAAATATTTTCTTCTCTCGAAACGTGGATGACTTAATTTTCCATTCCATTGAAAGTTTTTCTTTTTTAACACCCCAAATATCAAATATTAGAAAATTATATTTTCAAAAAATTATTTTTGGTTAGCGGAAACAAACGAAAGCCTGATTGCATGATAGTTACTTTTTATTACAGGCTTTTACTTACCAAGCTATGGAGGCTACTGGCTTAATGATGGGAACTAAATTATTAATAATTTATTCTTATTTAATGGTAAATTAGTTTTCATTATTAATTAGTTTTCATTATTAGTTTTCATTCTTATTTGATGAGATGGTAAATTATATGGCATTGTTTTTCTTTTTCTTTCTTTTTCACACCAGTCAATTTTTCAGCTTAGCAAGTTGCCAAAAGGAGAATGTCAGGGTCCCCAATCTTTATAATATATCAAATGTATGGCTTTGATTCATCTTTATAATATATCAAACTTATCGTTCGAGAACCGAAATGTACAGTCCAATCTTCTCAATCTTCATTGTTCTTTTTGTGCTCCTCGATCTGACATCAGAATTCATGGAAAGACCTTCTACTGAAGGCAGGACAAGAAGAGTTTTAAAAGAGTTACTTTCATAGGTTTGATGTGAAAACTTGCGCCCAAGAAAATCATAACCCCTTGTGTGTTAAGAACAGAACATTATTCTGCAAGTATGAGAAGAAGATTATGCGTTCAACTTGTAACTATCAGAAAAAATCTCACTCAAACTTGTTGCAACCATGCTAATTCACTTGTCTTAGTCATTGAGACACTACTACAACAGTATTCCATTTTTGAAAAAATGATATAGTGGTGAAAACTAATCCGCATTGGATAAAAATGCTAGAATACATCTTATGAGATATTCAGTTATTATCGGTTTACATCTTAGGTATACAGTTCAATAAAGAATAAACTGTGGTCAATAGGAAAACCATGTATTTTTGTTAATTTGCTTAATTTTCTATTCTCCAGAGCTTAATTACCTTTGGTTCAACAGGGCACCTCTCAGGCTCTCTTACTATGTAAATCTGGTCTCCAGCAGTACTGTATAAGTCCTGATTTCGGTGCCAAGTCCATAGAGCATGAGTCTCATTCTTGACCTGCAATGTGGAATCTCATCATTAGCTTGCATTCTTCAACAGCAGTACTGAAAGAAATTATCAAAAAGGTATGTTCAAAAGTTTTCATTTCCCAGCTCACTGTCTCAGCAAGTAACAAGAGAAACAAATGTAGTATTTATGAGTTTTTAGACAACATGATTACACTAACACAGAGACTTACCTCCAAAATCCCATGACCGAAGCTACTTTCTCTGTATGCACTATAATCAGGTTGCCGGTCCCAACAGAATTTTCCTGCTGCTGGGCCTGATGTAAAATTGAAAGCACAGAAGCCACCCATGTATTCATCTGCTGTGGTGGATGGATCAGGACAGTTACCAGGTTCATCAGTATGTGTGATTGCCATCTTCTCTCTATTTCCACCATCACCAACTGTGATATAAACGGGCCCGCAAGGATCCAAAGTGTAGTTATAGACCCGGTTAGACCTCTCATAGGCATGTACCTGTTGATCATTGGAAAGGGATCAATTCCATCCTCCTCTGGTACAAAAGAAAAATTTTATTCCTTTCCTATGTATCAGCAAATGCAGTATATTTTTTTTGCTCTAAACCATCAATGGTTTGATGGTACCAAGAGAAATTCAGTTGAGGAAAGACATTCTTTACTGAAATTTATAAAAGAGCTGCTGACAAAAACAAATCACTTTCAGGCAGAATTTGACGCTTACATGTCCATTGAAAATCAGGTCAACGCCATACTTATACAGCAATTCCTCCATTGATACTCTCATACACTCTGCTTCTCTGTAATGTGATTTGTAGGTGCTGTACCATGGAGGGTGCCATGTGGCCACCAACCATGGAGTCACTTCTCTGTCAACATTGGCTAAATCTCTCTCCAACCACTTGTATTGATCCGCTGCAGAAAAACTGGACCATCTCAGTTTACTGTATCTATCAAACAAAGGATTTGTCCTCTTACTGTTCTTAAATAGAGAAATGCAAGTCACTCCACAAAGATTTGTCCAAATAACAGGTAAATATCTGGAAATGGTTTGGACTGATATTTTACCTGATTTGTTGTAGGAAATATAGGCACCCAGCATTATGAAATGTATTCCCCCTGCATTAAATGAATAGTAGAATGTGGAGGGCGATCCACTCTCTTTAGATGGGAATGCAAATCGAGAACCATAAGCAACAAATGTTTGATTTTCAGCCTGTTGTTCTATTTCATGGTTCCCTTCTACCACCATAATTGGAACTTTAGATATTACAGGCTGCATGTATCTGACAACAAATATCGCATGGTAATTATGAGTCAGAATCCGCTAACACTGACCATTTTCTCTAATCCATCTAAACCCACAATTAATAATAGAAGAAATGAATGTCTGAGAAGTTGCTTTCTTACCTTCCCCAGTAGTCCCATCGAGGCTGATAGGTCTCATGAATCGGAGTTTGTGAAAATGAACAGGAATAGCAATCAGCCCCAGTTCCGTTGGTGAGATACAAGTTAGCATAAGTAACATCTCCAACCAATAAAATAAGATCAGGATGGTTGCTAACCATATGCTCAACTGTTGAAGTTGTATTGTATGTGAGGCCTAAGTCTCCCACTATTGCTATTCTGCTGGGGTAGCTCTTGGGACCTGAAGCTGGCATAGTCCTAAAGTGAAAAATATTGCTCACCGCTGCTGTTGAAGGATCCCCACATTGATAATAGTATTGCGTGTTAGGTTTCAAACCTGAAGAATGATATAACAATGGCATAAGTCCGAGCCTATGTAGATAGACAAATGGGGCACACATGATTTGGAAATTTAACTGCTCAATATCATATAAATTCTCTATCTTGATTAGAAGCCAATAGAGATAATGCAAATAATAAAGAGAGGAGAATAGTACTGTGATAAAATATGCGGTGATTATACCTCTAAGACGAACATGGTGTATTATACCAGAAGTGTAGTTTTGTAGACCTTCAAAAGGATACAATTGACTGTAAACAAGGGAATGACCAGTAGCTTCATGATTTAAACGAATTCTTGACCTTCCATATCGAACAACACTAGCTACAGTTTTTGGATTTAATGGTTCTATGTTGTTACCAATTTGATATTGACCTGAAAATTTAATCCATACAACACCAATTAACAGCCCAGCACAGAATAACTAAATGTATCAAAAAATGTATTAATACATTAAATGTAACAGCAAGTTCCTTAGAAAACTTTGTAAATTTGGAGCAACCCAGAATTAATTTCATGCACAAGTTAATTCATACATTAGTGCAGAAAAAACTATTGCAATTAATGCATACCGAGTTACCAACTTTGTGTGGGAGCAGAGGTTATTTATCACTGATACACAAAAATTCAATCATTTGGACCACCTTCATTTCAATAGTTGACTTCACAAATAAAGAAAACGAAATTTAGTGAATGGAACAATAAAAAAACCATCTCAATGACTTAAACTTCTTGAACTCAAATAACTGCCAAAAAAAAAAAAAAAAAAAAACTAAGAACCCAGAAAGGAAGCTAGTTAAACTCACATAGACATTCAAAATCTTATCTTATCATATTAAATAAGATCAAGCCAGAGCACCAAAGTGAAAATAAATAAATAAATAAATAAATAAAGAAGATAACGAATTGATAACAGACCTGTGATCCAAGATATCCAAACAGAATCATGGGTTGCAGAGAGAGAAACAGAAATTTGCTCGGGCTCAAAACCTAGAGCCTTTCTTTGTACTCTAGGGTCTGTATCAGGCAAATCCACAGCATTCCCCCGACAGCTTTTGTCAAGAGGGATTGTTACCGGCTTAAAGGGTCCTTGAAGAGTTGTTAATATATCACCAAGAACAGAACTTGAACTTATAAGAAAACAAAAGCCGATTGCGATTAACATCAACCCCATTGAATTGTATTTGTGGGTTTATCTCTATTTGCATGAAAAATCTGGTGAACATGAAAATAAGAGAAAAAAAAAAGGTGGAAAATAAATTGTCATGAAGGGCGAGATCCATTGAAGAATATATATAACGGGCCGATGATGTAAGAAAGAGAAAGAGAAAGAGAACGCAAATATGGAAGGAAAGATTGGGTTTTATTTGTTTATTTGCTCGTTGAGAGGCAAAGGGTGGCGCTTCTCGTTGACATGTATGAGCAACGCATGGACTCATATGTAAGATTTTTGGATTGTTGTTTTATTCTGTTGTTGTCACTGCAAGATTCTTGTTTTGAGATCAACTGTGTTAACTATAACTTGTTTTTTTGGGCGGTTCGGTTTATACTCCGCAATAACTCATAGTTGGTTGTATGGTAATTAAAATAGGATTTTTCCTACCTACACCAAAGAGAATTTTTAAAAAAAATTATTACTATTTTATTTATTTTTAAATATGTGATAAAAAAATATATTAATTTAATAAAAAATTATTTATAATTGATTGAATGTATGCACTGGATACATACACCATGCAAGTAAATCTTTCTCTGTTACTAATATTATAATTGGATATTATGAACGGTTAAACTAAACCGAACTTTAATATTACCTAATTGATAAATTTTAAAAAAATATTAATTGTTTAGTAAAAAAATTTGTATATTAGTAATTACAAAGAGTATAATTATTTTTTCATATGTTATTTTCTATTTGAATATATTATGTAAACAAAAAATATTATAAAATTTTTTAAAAGTAATACTTAATATTTACTTATCATTTTTAAATAATCATGGGTGAGATAATGTGAAAATATTAGTTTGACTGTTTGATAAATAAGTATAATTTAATTTTTTTATTATTTTGAGATTAGTGTAATTCAAATATAATAAATGTACAAATCAGAACCCAAGGAAATGCTTATGTGTTAAAATTTCAAAGGAGAGTCATTTAGAAAATTAATCTTATTTAGGATCTATTATTTTTTTTTTTCTGAACATTCAACACCCTAAATAAGATTAGTAATATTGCTAAATTAGCAGATCCTAAATAAGACATTATTTTAATTTTTTTTTTCTCTCAAGAGATGGGTTAATTTTCTTTTCTATTTATTTTAAATTATAGCAATTTCAATTTCAATTTTAATTTCAATATTAGTAGAAATATAATATTGTCTTACGTATATACTTCTTATTTTGTAAGTCCACTTTTTTACTTGGGCCGGTATCGCAGCAGCCGAAAACTCTGAGCTTTAAATGAAAACTTAGGCCCGAACATGGTCCACTTATTTACTTGGGCCGGTATCGCAGCAGCCGAAAACTCTGAGCTTTAAATGAAAACTTAGGCCCGAACATGGTCCACTTATTTACTTGGGCCGGTATCGCAAAACTTAGGCCCGAACATGGTCCACTTATTTACTTGGGCCGGTATCGCAGCAATTTAAAACTCTGAGCTTTAAATGGAAACTTGGGCCGGAATATGGCCCACTTAGAGTAAAATATTCCCGTTCTAACTCTCTAAGCTGAAAGAATTCCAGTAGCCGCTAAAAGATTTCGTTTAAATCATAAAATTGGCGATTTAAGTAGACTTTCACTCGGTATTTCTAATTTTCCTTGACGCATGAGGTTTCCTTTTCCTTCTTGAAACCTATTGGAAGTTACTAGTTTCTTTATATGAGACGGCTTTGAATTACCATATCCATATATATCTGCATAAACAACTCGATCCACTCCACTTCTCTTCTTCCAAACTAAAAGAAAGATGAAGAGATGCAGAGACGGAACAACGGAGAACCACAATAGCTATGAAGAAGCTGTAGATTTTGTAAACAGGGTAATGCTTAGGAATGAGTCTATTTTCAAATCTCTCGTGAAGATTTTGAATTCATACCAAAAAGAGAGGTATGCGGGATCAAATCATGTCTACGATGAGGTTGTTGCACTGTTAGTAGACCATCAAGATTTGCTAGACCAGTTCTTTGCTTTCATGTCAATGGAGTCTTATAACAAGCAAAAGATTCAAAAACAAGGAATCGGCTTTTTTAGGAAAGTTGAGAAGAAATTATCGCTTGAGAATTATATGGAATTCTTGAAATGCTTTTCTTGTTACAGCAGCGGAAAGATTCAAAAGGGTAATTTTAAAATCGCAGTTGCTAATATTATAGGTGAATCTAGCAATCCGGAACTAATGGAAGATTTTAGGGTTTTTATGAAGAACTGCGAGAATTTTTATGGGCTTTTGAATAAGGGGGAAAAGAAAAGTAAAAAGATTACTCCAAGTTATGGAGTTGCTCCAGAAGGGTATAATTGTAATGCTAATCAAAGAAAAGAAAATGCAGCAGAAATTTTGAATGATAACTGGGTATCTGTGGGTTCATGCACAGAATATCAGTCATGGAAAAGGGGGAGAGATCAAGATCAAGAAATCAAGATCATGTGCGAAGATGATAGGCATGAATTGGATATGCTAATGATTTGGTTAAATTCTGCTGCTAAATTTGCAGAGGAATTGTGTAAAGGCACTAAAGAAACAGAAGTTGGAGGAATGTCAAGAACTCACTTCTTTAGATGTGTTGAACATTTATATGGTGAAAGTGGGCTTCATATATTGGAAATTTGGCAAGAAAATCCTAAATCTGCATCTGCTGTTATACTAGCTCGCCTGAAGGAGAAAATAGAGCAATTGACAAGTTTTAGTGCAGAGCTTGAAAAGGTTTGGGCTCGGGCTCAAACGCTTTAAGAATTTTTTTCTGCTACAGCCAAGAAAATAGATTTATATTTTATGTACTATAATGTCGTGATTAACAGATAATGGCTATGATTAGCATTTTGTTTTCTACAACAGAATTACTTTGCCAATTAGTGTATGCTACTTGATGAGTTTTTCTATAAATATATACAAAAATAAATTTCATAAGTTGGTCCTTTTTTTGTTTTCTTATGGTGGGTATCCTCCTCCCTCGATATTAACAGTTTGGTGGAAGGCTAATCTCTTTTTAGGCCGAACAATAACTATATTTAAAATCCTTCTGCCCTTTCCAAGTCTCACGACCAAGTGCAGGATCTGGAGAGCTCTA